AGATTTAAACACAAATAACATATTTATTCTACTGCAACTAAAATAATATAAGCGGTAAATACATTAATGTTAAGCACAAGCATACATACAGAAGCTTAATAGATAACATCTAAAGAACGAGAGGATCATGGGATATATTAATATCACGTGATTAACATAGTTTGACGTGCTTGACGCCCGTGTGTCTTGGCATTTTTTAGGGTTGCTAGAAGTAAGTTAGAAAACATTTTTTTATTTATTTATTCGCAAAAGCTTGATTAATTAATTTATCAAATGCTTGATTAATTTACAACAGTACACTCCGCAAGTGAATTTCCCAAATTAAATAATTAACATTTATCGATGTAATTACATGTTTCCAATCTTTGCATTACCCCTGGAAAATTTTCTGTGGGCACCCATGCCTATTATTTATAATGGTATTTACAATTTTTCTCCACTTGGTACTTAAATTAAATCATAACTCTTTTATTCCAAATTTTGAATAAAAACATTCACGCACATTTATGTTACAGTCATAACTGTCTCATGTTCCAGTGAAAACTTCGCTGAATGCGAATCAACTTTGTCGAGATCAAATAAAATCTGCAAAAACTGACTGTAAAAACATACACTTCTGGAGTGTATAGAAAGGAATTTTGTACTTTGGGACTACTAACCTGTCAAAGGTCAAACTTAACCTCCGAGGTCACTTTTTATTACGTGGTTTCTATAGGCTGGCATTCATAAGAATGAAATTAATCGAAGATACACATCAATCACGTGAGAATAATTGCAGTCCATAAAGAGAATCAATAAGCTGAGCAACAATTTTAAAAATATTTCTTAATGTATTTTATTTATTTCAGGGCTTTAAAAGCACCATTATGTCATTCGTCAATACTTAGGTGCCAAGTGCGCAAGCCATTCATTTCCCATGGATTTTAAGCCGTAAATTCTTTTCAATTTACATTGCTGAATCTGACAAATTCTCAAATGAATGCATACCAGTGCTGAATGACGTACAGGGCTACTTAAAGGTCAGCTAAGCCTAGAGCATTCTGGTATATCAAAACCAATACCATTCAAATTAATAAATAAGTAAAAAGTAAAAATAGATTCTTTATAAAAGAGAAAATTTCTTGACTTCAAAAGTTATGCTTAAAATTATTAACCTTAATTAAAAATACCTGCCAAAAACCCTTTTAAGTTTGAAAATTCTACCATCTACTGATTTTAACTGGAGTACACTAAAAGCAGAAGACAAACTTTTTACTTCCTTGTACGAAGCAAAGGAAGTATTGCAATCGCGAAAATTTTCGTGTATCGTATATCAACGAAAATATCCATTTTGACCGCATCAAATGCAATTTAACGATGTTTTTGAGTGACATCTGTAAGTAAGGTCAGAATAAAGGACTCTTTTTCCGAAAACGGGTTGCAAAAAGGATGTAAAATGAATTCAGAAGAGTTTTTTTCGTTATGTCTGTACGTACACACGTTCGTATGTATGTATCTTGCATAACTAAAAAACAAGTAGCCTCATAACTTTGAAATTTTCCATGTAGGACTGCTGCAACATTTAGTTGTGCACCTCCCTTTTTGGTTTCAATCGGCTGCATCAAAAGTATTATATACCCACTCTGTTACTCGGCTCCGTGAGTTGTTTTTTTATTCTTACATGTTGGTAAATTGGCCATTTTTTGCTTTCAAAATGATTGAATTATGCGGTTTTTATACTTTTAGTTAAGCTGCATGCGATAGTTGTAGAATTAGAGACAATTTAAAAGTTGTTTAAGTGCGGCTAAGCCTATTTTTTTTAAACCACAGCAGCCATATTTGTTTACATTTGGAACTTAGCAGAACAGCGAATTAAGTCAGTTTTTTCATCGAAAACTCTGTCTTTTTGCCCGATGGCCGAATTGCTTGTTTTTGCGTAGAAACTCTAATTCGAATTGTACAAATTGTTTTTAACTGTATTTGGTGTTATATATATAATGAAGATATTTTGACGTTTTATGTATTTTTGTCTTGCCGCGAAGCGAAAACTGAATTAATTGAATGAGAAATTTATCTCTAATGAAATTCGAGGAAATAAATTTAAATGAAATGCAGGAAAAAATGTCTATAATTTAATAATCCGTACAAAAGTCATGTGGTGTACGCATCAGATATTTTATAATAATATTACAAGCTTTTCATTCAATTGAAGAAAAACGCAATAATTTGATAACATGAAGAAACCGTTAGGATTTTTGACTAGAGAAACGTAAGAAATGAAGTTCACCATCACTGGGACTCAAACCACGGATCTTCCATCTGTTAGCTGTAACATCACGACAACATATAAAGGGTTTTAAAAAATTTGTTATATTCTATCTCTCTTAAACACAGACATGAAAAAGGCAAGTGATCCCTGTCGACCAAATCCAGAAGACGAATTATCTCCCTTACATTTTAGTTTGGACGCTAGAATAGACATTTTTTCTAATATTTTTTCACAGCCTGAAAACATGAAAAATCGATTGTGCAATTGCCAGGATTCGAACCATGGATCTCCAGCTGCGAGTTGGACGTGCTATCATTTACACCACTCACAAGGAAATACCTTAAAAAACACAGCAAACTATTTTTCTTTATTTTTAATTTCTAAGACATACTCTTTTGGAAGGAAGCAATATGGAACAACACGCGCAAAGGGAAAATGCAAATTACTTTAAAATAACCATTAAACTTTCTCATTTTTCTCATAAAGTCACATATCAGAGTTTTCCATACAGCCAATGGAAAGATCAACACATGGAAATCAAACTAGCCTTCAATCATTTGATTTATTCGTTATATGAATCAGCAAGTTTTTGTTTTTTCCAATGCAAGTTAAAACTTTAAGTTTTAACTTTAACTTGCATTAAAGTTAAAACTTGCAAGTTAAGACTATTAACATTGAACGGTTAATTTTCGATGAGCCGAAATTTTCATTTAATTCGCATAGATACGGGGAAATTTTCTTGTTTAATGAAAGACTGAATTTACAGAAAATTCAATGATTCAATTCAAATTAAATTCATTGACTTTTGTTTTACAGAAAAACTCTTTCATTTCGAGACATAAAATGGCCAAATATTTTTTCACAGATTTTTTATATAAGATAAATTTCCACCCAAGGAAAGATGCGTGCAGTTAGTTCCCCGGCAATTTTGTGCAGATCGACCAGTGGTTGAAAAAGCAGATATCTTTATAACGACGCCCAGGAAGCTATAAATCTTTCAACAGCACAGAAAAAAAAAAAAAAAGTTTTTCCGTTGATATTTTTATTAATAAAGCAAACCAAATCTTACTTAAGTATTATACTGCTAGCTGGGCCCCCAGCACATTTTTTCAGGCTAAAAAATTTGATTTTATTAAAATCGCCGGTACAATGGCTGACCTGTTAATGGTGCCACAACTTTTATGAGGATGCAAATATACTGATGTCTATCAAAGTCTGAATTTCAATATTTCTCGTTATAAAAAGGTAAAAGTTTACAATTGGGTGCCCCCGTTTATTGGCGATTCTTTTATACGCCAAGATCGGCGCCAGGAAGTCATAATTTCAAAATAAGATGTCGAAGAATTGCATAAGATCTGTGTCCATGGTACACATCGATCTGTTTTTACTTAAAAAAACATCTTTGAATTGCACAAACTAGGCATTGCGCACTGCCTTAAACATGTCCATGTACACATCAATCTATTTTTATTTAAATAAAATCGGGAAGCTAAAATAAAGTTAAAACTATCGTGGTAACCAGAAGTGAGGTTTCATCACCAAAATTAAAAAAAAAAAAAATGTCGCCAATCGAAGAGGCACCCAATTCTACACTAAAGCCAACAAGGTCAGGCGTCAAGACCATCAATATTTCTGATAACCTTCTCCTGATCGCTTGTAATATAAATTTATACTACATATCTATCTACACGAGAAAAAACAGTAGCCCCATCTACTCGACCGCAAACAACTTGTGCCAAACATGTATTGCTTTGACGAGAAAGCGGATTATGGGAGCGGTTACAGACCTATTTTTTTTTTTAATCCTCCTCTTAATGACAAAGTGGCATAGTCACGCCACTGCATTCACCCCACGTTACACAAAAATGGCTTCCATTACTAAATTTGTGAATGATTTATACAACCTTCGACGGCACGAAACTCATCCGTGCTCTGAGCTACATTTCTTCACGGCAGTTTTCGCCCCGAGCCACTGATAGCGTTCCGTATCACTTTTTCCACCAATAACAACCGCAAAGGTGGGGTCGACACGCCTACCTCTTCAGACATCGAATGGAAAGGAGATTCTTGTGCAGGACGACAGTAGGGCGGAGGACCAGGCGGTTACAAAGAAAACGTACACTTGGAAAGTAATTTCGAAAGTGCGCGGTTAAAGCATTTTTTTGCGATGGCTCTAGAAATTATTTACGTTTACTTCGATGATTGATTGTTTTACAATTTTCGTAGAAATTAATATTTGTGATTAGTCTGTTTTAAATATGTGAATTTAATTCCATTTAAAATATATATTAAAATTCGTAGAAGTTACACAAAACCTTTCCCGGAAAACTATTTGCCAAAATTACCCATTTGCTTAACAACAATTCAAAATCCCATATCTTTTTACTTCTATTACGCCTAATTTTTCCTCATCTAATTCTTATTCTTCATTGTTAATTCATTTTATATTAATAAAAATTTAGTGTCTTAATTTAGTTTAAAAGGAAAACGTTATCCATTTTGTGTTAGGAAAATAAAAGGTAATCTCTTTGCTAAGTTTACCTAGTGTAGCAAAAAATTAAAACAAGATTTTGCATGCAGTTTTACGATAATAAATAATAATTTTATTATTTCAGGAGAAAATGTTTAATTCGGCATTCCAATTGTATTTTCCATTTTAGTTTATAATAATAAAAATACTATAGTTTCATCTACGTAGAATGAAATTGTGTTTTGTTCGAATTTTGGTCAAACTGAAGAAAAATTCCGAAACGAAATATAATAAAAATTTATTTTATTTCAAAATATACAAGTCTGCGAACGTATAGACACCTGTAAAGAAAAAAGAAATTAGTTACAATTTATTTAATAAACTAATTAATTTAGTTTATACAACAATTAATAAACGATAATTTAATAAAACAATTTACTTATCAAAACAACAATTTATGATTCAGAACAATTATTCTATTAAAATGTTTTATACGGAAATGCACTTTTCTATTAAATAATACTGCGCATACTACATTTTCCATTCTTACATAATTCCGCGCAAACTGCACTGATAAGTAAAATCACACATTTATTTTTTTTATCTAAAAAAATACATTAATCAGTAAAAATAATACATTTTGAAATAACCATTATGACTGTGCACAAAAAATATTTCATTTATATCCAGGGCAGTTTCTTCAGCCGCACAAAAGTTTCTATAAAAAAACGATGCACATTCCAATACTGCTATAAAAGCTAAATAATTTTATAAAAATCAGAAAGCGAAAGGAGCAACTTTAATTACTCGATTTATTATCTTCGGTATGGATTCGGTTTACTTGTTTATGGAGTTATCTGCCTGAGGGAAGGGATGCCTTTGTGAAGGACTTTCTAAGCGAAACTGGCTGGTATACAAGTTACATATGGGGAAAACTACGAAAACGCCCATGCAGCCAGTCCGTTCGCCTCGAATCGAACCCAGTTCGGAATTACCAGTATTCAGCGATTTTGCTGCTCGGCCGTTGGTGGGCTCTTCAGCATCGAAGAAAAAGTCATGAGAACTAAGGAGTACAAAGAATGCCTTTTTTTCTAATTTAATGTCCAAATCATCCAATAGAAAATGCAATCGAACCACGGAATTTCACGTTTAATAAACACAACTGCTAATACTTCTAGATGAGGGAGGGAGGGGTTAAGACAATTAGATTCGGAAAATTTCCGTAATGGCAACTGATACATTAATTTGGTGGCCGATAGTTTCAGCTACATGTGCAGGTACTAAGACAAAGAACTTCAGTCAACGTGACCAACGATATCGTCACATACTATCATCTCTCTAGAGCTCTAGTGCCTGCTTTTGGAAGCGGGCAGTCAAGGGTGTAAGGAAGTGTGATTTTGGATGCTTGTTCCTCTTCTTCATTGATCGACAGTTAGGCCAAGTTAGGCCCTGGCCTTCTCCAGGCATCTCTACTTTTGGCAACTTCTTTCCAGTTTTTGACCTTCAGAATTTTAAAGTCATTTTTAACATAATCGATCCATCTCACCGGGGGATCTACGCCGAAGTCTGGTTCCCATGGACTTTTACAGAAAGATTTTCTTATAACACCGATCTGCATTCATTTTGACCAGATCACCAACCCATTAAAGCGTCTGTAGTTTGACGAATTTTTACTATATCAGGTTGTCTATACAGCTCAGATCTTCTTTTCCAAGATCCATTCCAAGTCACACTGGTCGCAACAATTAAGCAAAGCAATAGTCTTCGGTCAAAGCTTCCTCATCAGTCAAAGTCAGCGCCCAAGCTTCCGACGCATAAGTCAGAACAGATCTTGCAAGACTCTTGTACAGAAGCAATTAGTTCCTAGCTTGAGAAAGCTGAATGCTTGTTCAGTGACTGCTAATAATTTCACATTTTGTAAATCATGACTTATCATGACTAATCTTTCTACTTGCTGATATTAAAAATATGATACATACAAGTACTTATTGATATTAAAAATATGATTAATCATGTTTTCAATATAGCACATTGCATTGTTCCATCTGTTCTACTACTACTGAATTACTACTACACCCACTAAACTCAAGATTGACTATACCATAAGCTATACAACGGGCATGGTACTTATTTAACTCTAAAAACAGTCAGTTGACTTTAATGACACCTTTACACGAATAAAATGATTTCTTCTCATTATTGAAATATTATTTTCAATAATGAGACAATAATCTTTTACCTTCTTCATAAAACTAACTTTACATTATGTTAAATTGGTTTTCGGAGCAGTTTTTTCCATAGTTAATTCTCTTTATTAGTGAAATACGTGAATGACAAAGAATCATGCATACGGATATGACTTCATAAAACTAACTTTATATTATGTTAAATAAATTGGTTTTCGGAGTAGTTTTTTACATAGTTAGTTCTCTTTATTAGTGAAATACGTGAATGACAAAGAATCATGCATACGGATACGACACAAAGTTTAGGTACAGTACGACGTCTAAAGAAGCTTTCAAACATGAGTGCATTAAAAAAATCTTACTAAAGCAGCTGAATCAATCAGTGCTAAAGGCCCGTTCCCACTAGAATTCCCACTAGACACAATTGACGTAGCTGACCCATCTCCAAAATCAATTTTCCCCCATACGGCAGCAAGTTGAACAATCTGAACTGCGTCGCTAGTCGACACATGGAACTGACTCCGGTAGCTCAGATATACCCCCAGTGGGAATGGCCCTTTAGAGTTTTAATGTCTAAGAAATACCTAGTGGTACAGGTGGACAAAAATGATGAATCAATATACTTCTTGAGAAATTTTAGATAATCATATGATTACCTTTGGAAAAATATTTGAGGCTTCCGATTGGGTCGCAAAATCGCATATGCAATGCATGGCTTCATGCACATGCTTGCAGATAACCACTCACTTGTCATAGCAATCGACATCCACGGGGTCAGGGCTTCGACTCACTGTGGTGACTAGATGTCATTCACAGCTTGGGTCAAATCGGATGCCCAGGCACACTCGTTGATCTAATTCATAACAATTTAGAGGCATACAAAGTATAAGAAACATTGAGTAGCATCGCAGTGACAAAGAACATCTTTAGATGATGCTCACTGGGTCTATGTTTAGGTCCTTGTAGAATCTAATTACTAATACAGCTCTTCAACTCTAGAAAAAATCAGCATACATAGGCAACTGCCTATCCCGACGATTTTCTTTTGATAGTAATCGGTAAAACAGCACGAACAGAGCTCCAGAAAGCCCAGGCACTTTGGGCAAAAGAACATAAATTCACATTCTCAGCAAATAAAACTCAGGCCCTGATAATCGGCTAAAAAAAATAATCTTTTGCAACGTTTAGATATAACCCCGGCGTGAAATTCCAGGGTAAAACAATTAACTATGCTGTTACACAATAGAAATATCTCAGAATAACGCTAGAACTCTAGCTTACAAGGCCTCCATATATCGCCTCGGTCACCGTACATTAAGCAAAAAGGTACTCTTAACTTGCAACTCAGAGCACCGTTCAGCTGCTATGAAATCGGGAATACTATCCGGATTCCATCCCTTATGGTATTTGACAGTACCGCAGCATATTGTGCTTTAGCGTCGGGTTAAATACTTGTAGGACCTATTAAGGCAGATACCTATCAAGAAATTTTGAAGTTTCAAAGTATGACATTTTCATTTACACTGACCTGCGCCACATCTACACAATCTTTCTGCAGTCCCTTGTCAAGTTATTCCTGCGAAAGCACTGTATACCTGCGAAAGCACTGTATATAATTCCTGCTGAAACAGGTACATCAAAAGTATCAAAGTATCAAGTGAGGCAGATACTCATTATAGCGCCGACATCTACATACCATCTGCGGGGCGTATCGTCTTTAGAAATGGTAGTAGAAAGGAAGGCTACCATTGCAAATCTCATCACACTTGACATGATCTGTGGGGCCAGGTATATATACATTCTAACAATGAAAAACGCAAGACTCTTACACATTGCTTTTATACATACAATCTTATACATTGCGCACAAAAAGATGAAGCAAAATGTGAGCATAGACCTTTCATCCTTAGGACTGATGAAGCAGAATCCATCTACATGGACCGACAGACGGAAGATGGTACAGGCAATGACTTTTGCCATAAGCAGAATACATTGTTCAATGCAAGCGGGAAAGCAGGATCAGGTTAAACAATTCCATTTTCCAAGCAGAACTAACAGCCCTGCATGCTGCAGTCTGCTACCAATCGAACAAGTGACAAATACCATGATTTTTAGTGACTCGGCGGCTAATCTCCAGACATATCGGGCCCATTGGCACATGCCATTCGCCACCTAATGTTGCGAGTTCCTTCTCGAAACCGTTCTGTTCAATGTCGGGTTCCAGCTCACAACGATATCACCGCAAAATGAACTGGCTAACGAGCTGACGAAGCAGGCAGTGATCAACATCCAAGAACAAACGATTTTAACTCTCTCCCTGACAAGCTATTTTAATCGGACCAATCAGGAGCTCAAGCTCAAACAATGGCCGGAGAGATGGCTTACAGCCACCACGGGTCGCAGGACGTTTCTGTTCTTTCCAAAGGAGGCAACAGTGTTATGCAGCACCTCCTTTTCATTGACTCAATACTTAGTCTCCTTCTCGAAATCTTTAGTTTAATTCTATTTGTAATTTTGTTATAATATTAACTATTATTTTCATTTCTTGTCTTAATGGTTTGGTTTATTTAGCTATAGCAAACAATCGGGGGCTATATGCCTAAGGGGAAGGATGTCTTCGTGGAGGATTTTACTTTCTAAGGGACACTGGCTCGTACACACAGGAAAACCCATGACCTTTCAGTCAGCTCGTTTGCATGGATTCGAACCCCACACCGAACTACTAGTGTTCAGCGACTTTACCTCTCGGTCGCTGGTGGGACACTTATCTTAATGAATACAGATGTTTTAAACACTATTAAGACTCCAAGGGGAAAAAAGTCATTAGCCCTTCGTAAAGCTTATAAAGTTTCATAAACAGGTAAAAGTGCACGGGGCGCCCGACACTTCACTTCAGAATCGAACAAGCATTGCCCCAATACACTTGTAGAGACATCAGGATATTTTGGAAGCCAGAGAGATGAAAAATTAGCAACCGCCTTCGCCGGGAATCGAACCACGGACCTCTGGAATACCGGCCCAGCGTGCAGAACCACTACACCACGAAGGCACGCTAGGGAAGTGGGAGAAATACCTTATATACTCCCCTTTTTAAAGGGCGACTAGGGTTTTCGGGGACCTTGTCGCCAAATCCTGGGTGTGGAGAATCATCATCC